CACACACACACACACACACACACACACACACACACACACACACACACACACCCTGTCGCTCTACAAACCTAACCAGGACAGATCATCCCGTAGAGACCTTACATCACACTCGGACACTGAAGTTTGGTGTTTTGCTTCGAGACACTTCAGAATGTGAATGAATAGTGGGGAATTGAACTGCCAACTSTCAKTGGATGATGACTCCCCACAGCCACGCCTGAAGAGCAGACACTATGTGTAAATAAACACACGTGATGTGACTTTGTGCCTCTGTAAAGACATTGAAGCATYTTAAACAAGTCTTCTGTCTGCTGGACCAAACAAGGCGTTCAGTTCTGGTTTGTTTACTGAAACCAACGGTTCAGACAGTGTTTACTGTGGAATCACATTAGAAACAGGCTGGGAAAATAAAATATATTCTACTATTGGAATTACTCACTGACCTTTTATAGCAAAGTTCTTCTTCCAGCTTCTCTTTCTGGTAAGAAAAGTTACAGATTTCAGTTGAAGTTTCTCAGCGTGTCATCGCTTGTGTTTCTGTGATTTATTCATGTTTAATAATCGGTCTGTAAAGAAAAGACGTTGAACTAAAGATGAAAGGATGAAGCTGAGCCTGTCGTCCTCCAGGTACTCCACAGAGAGGAGGAGCAGGAGGGGGAGGAGGAGGAGGATTTGGGCGAGGACGAGGACGAAGAGACAACGACTTGATTGGTCAGACGGTCCGCATCTCTCAGGGTCCTTACAAAGGTCAGACACATCKTATCAATAAAGTTTGTTTTGAATGAACCGCACCATGACCTCTGGTTTCTGATGGGTTCGTCTGTTTCCCAGGATACATCGGTGTGGTGAAGGATGCCACAGAGTCCACGGCCCGAGTGGAGCTGCACTCCACCTGTCAGACCATCTCTGTGGACAGGCAGAGGTTGACCACCATGTATGTCCTCCACCTGTGGCTCTGAGTTCAGATATCAGATTCTTTTTGTTTCTGTCACCTCTCTGTAAACCTGTTAGGCTACATCCTGTAGTAACCAGAGTAATAACCAGAGTAATAACCAGAGTAATAACCAGTGTAATAACCAGAGTAATAACCAGAGTAATAACCAGAGTAATAACCAGTGTAATAACCAGAGTAATAACCAGAGTAATAACCAGAGTAATAACCAGAGTAATAACCAGTGTAATTACAGTGTAATAACCAGAGTAATAACCAGAGTAATAACAAGAGTAATAACAAGAGTAATAACAAGAGTAATAACCAGAGTAATAACCAGTGAAATTACAGTGTAAAAACCAGTGTAATAACCAGAGTAATAACCCGTGTAATTACCCATGTAGTAACCCGTTTAATAACCAGTGAAATTACAAGTGTAATAACTAGTGCAATAACCAGTGAAATTACCAGTGTAATAACCAGTGTAATAACCAGAGTAATAACCAGTGTAATAACCAGAGCAATAACCAGAGTAATAACCCATGTAAAACCCCTTGTAATAACTAGTGTAATGACCAGTGTCATAACCAGTGTAATAACCCATGTAGTAACCCGTGTAATAACCAGTGAAATTACCAGTGTAATAACCAGTGAAATTACCAGTGTAATAACTAGTGTAATAACCAGTGTAATAATCAGTCTAATAGCCCATGCACTAACCAGGTAAGAAAATTCATTCATTTCAAGTAATGAGCTTCAATGTTTTAATTTGTGAAAAATAAATGGTTTAATCAGTACAGTTTACATGGTAAAAGTTTATTTGGAGATTTAAAAGTACTACAGAGGTGATTTTTAGGATGATGTTTCTAACCCTGGTTATTACATGTTAATAACAYATAGATGATCACAGCAGTTCTGTTACAGTTTTATAACTGAGCTGTCGTCCTGATTGGTTTTCATCTTTTTGGTTGTAAAAGTCAAACTTGAAGGAAATGTTGGCATCCTTGGACGTTTTGTCAGTTCTTTGATCTAACGTCTTATTTCTCCAACCAGGGGAGCTAAGAGACACACAGGAGCCACCTCCGCTCACGGACGCACCCCCATGTTTGGTTCCCAGACTCCCATGTACGGCGCCGGCTCTCGGACCCCCATCTACGGATCTCAGACTCCGCTCCACGACGGTAGGGAACCAGCTGAGTGTTTGAGGTGTTGGAGGATAGTTTGAGTCGGGGGAGAAAAATTTAGTGCGTATGTTGTTAAAATAAAATAAAAAAACTGATACAACAGTCCAATGATCGTTGTACTGAAATGTATAAAGACTGCAAAGTATGAAAAGTCCTGAAATCCAAATGAAATTGAGTTATTATGATAATTAAATTTTTTAATCTAAAAATGGGCTGGTATTATACATGAATAAATATGGTAATAAACCATTATTGCACAGTTAATGGTAAGTTGATAAATAGTTTGCGTCCCTGGTACACAGCTGGTTGTGACTTGGTGCTTTKTACATGAACTGAATTGAAAGAGATAATTTTTATAAAAGCACCTGAGTCGAGCACAGAGGAGCAGAACTGATCCAGCCTGACTGTACAGGAGGTCCACCAGGAGGGACCAAGAAACCATGCACCTGCAGCAGCACAGTGCCATGCTGTAAAGCTGTCCTGATGCAGATGTTTGAAAACAGCTGGACTCACAGCAGTCACATACGTCATCAACCCTCTTCCTGCTTTCAGCAGGAAGCAGAACGCCTCACTACGGCTCTCAGACCCCGCTGCATGATGGGAGCAGAACACCAGGTCAGAGTGGAGCCTGGGACCCCAGCAACCCTAACACACCTTCCAGGTAACACACACAGACACAAAGCAGYTGTGTGTAGAGGAAACAACACACTACAAGCTGTTTGTGTTGGCTGTGTGCAGGAACGATGAGGAGTACGACTTCGGCTTTGATGACGAGCCTTCTCCRTCTCCTCAGGGCTACGGAGGGACCCCTAACCCTCAGACCCCAGGTTACCCTGAGGTCCCGTCCCCACAGGTCAACCCTCAGTACAACCCTCAGACTCCAGGCACACCTGCTATGTGAGTGTGGACCGGACCGGACCGGCCCGGTCTGACACAGGTCTGTACAGAAAGGTTTGGTTCCAGCAGATAGTACTGAATGTGTACACTGTGTGTGTRCAGGTACTCTCCATACGCAGCTCCGTCCCCACAGGGCTCCTACCAGCCCAGTCCCAGTCCTCAGAGCTACCACCAGGTGGCGCCGTCACCTGTTGGGTTCCAGAACACACACTCACCTGCCAGCTACCACCCCACCCCCTCCCCCATGGCCTATCAGGTAGGACAAGACTCAACTAATCCTTGAACAGTTTGTGGCTTTTTGTTTACTAAAGTTAAACTCAGTGTTATTCAGCTTCAGTCAGTGTGTGTTGAACCAGCTTTACAACTAAAATAAACTGTTTACAACTAAAATAAACTGTTTACAACTAAAATAAACTGTTTTACAACTAAAATAAACTGTTTACAACTAAAATAAACTGTTTACAACTAAAATAAACTGTTTTATAACTAAAATAAACTGTTTACAAC